ATCGCAACATATGATGTCCCTATTCTATATGATATTATATCCCATTGTTATTTATAGTTTTGTCTCTTAACAAATATTGAAGCATGGATTTCACTTTCTTATATTTGTGAAATATGAGTCTTATATGTTATTGGTGGCTAGATAATAATGAAAACTATGCATGCATAAACCAACATTGTTGAATTAAAGCTTTACCAAGTGTCATGAGAAAGAGTGTACAAACCTGGTATATAGGGTGATCTTACAGGGGATGTTATCCTCAACCAAACGGGACTGTGAAGTCCCATACCAGGTAAGGTTGAGAGTTTATACATGTTGCATATACTGGACGATGTATTGAAGCGGTTTCTAATTGTGGTGCCCATTACCAGATGGGGTACGAGGATGACTGTTTGATTAAAAAGAAAATGTTTGTATCCATGTGTAGCGAGGATCCTTATAGACCCCCAGTGACACCAGTTGGGAAAGGTAAATGATATAGTAGTGATAGACATGGTAATGATTCAGCTTTGAAAAAATAGTGAAGAGTCAAATGTTATACGTATTTTAGTATGTATATGGTTAGATTATCATTATGATTTTTATCTTAATATATGACATTTGAAAAGTTACAAGTTAGTTGAGAAAATAATAATATTTTCAGTTAAACGAATAATGAATGCAATAGTATTCGAGTTTTCTTAAGAATAAACTCCATTGAATGTTTTATGTTTTATATTTTCTACAACCCTTTGATTTTCTATATCAGAGGTAAAACGTTGATATTTTTATTGAGGTAATGTAGTTTATCCTTTTTTTATTAATTATTTCAAATCAGAACGATCAAAACTCGGATCCTTAACAGTAAGATACCAGTTAAAAAATTACCCATTCTACTTTGCCAGTTTTGAGTAGAGGATAACCATAATTATTTTCTTTTTATGTTTTTCCTGTTTAAGTTTCAAAAGCTTCTCATATTCCTATTAAACATTTGAAGTAATGTGCAATGATTGTAATTTAAAAACATTAATTGCTTCCATTAAAATAATAAATTTTAGTATTGTCATCTTACTATTATTAAGTTATATGCTCAAAATCTCTAATAAGAGTTTGCGGTTTTACATCGATATATATGTGTGTATATTTTGTTGAAATATTTGTAGATATATATATATATATACACGTTTTTATGTAGAAAAACAAACATTTTTATTACAACCAAATGGTTTTTGTGTACTATTTGGGTCGGGCCAAGATTATGTCAAATAAGGTATAAGGTATATGATGTGAATAATAAAACAAGTACATATTATAAGCCCATGATCCTTTTCAACAACAACAATGATAATAATAATTATTAAATTCACTAAACTTTTTTTTTTTCAAATTTAATACTTGTATTTTCATTTGTTTAATTATTTTAAACTAAATTATTAATTTTTGCATGTTACTGTTTCAATTTTTTTAAAAAATTTTTATCTTAATTTATCTTTATTTACCTTTGACCATATATAAGAAAAACGAAATTTATAAATAAATATCAAGTAAAATATTTTTTTAAATAAAACCTAACCCATGATTATATATATATATATATATGTTTTCTTATTTAAATTAAATTGAAATCATTATATATGTAGTCTTAAGAATTTAAAATATATATATTGAAGTATAAATTAATATTTGGGGTGGTAAAAAATCAAAAAAGAAAGCCTGCAAAAACCTAAGACTCTGTTAAAGTTCTTTTTCAAGTGGGTGTACAGGCGGATTGGATTATGGACTTAATATATAGTGCATCAAAAGCTCCAATTGGCGGCTTAAAAGCAAAGGAATCAATAGACACATCACACTATCCCATATTCCTTTCTTTTCATATATATATATATACACACACACACACACACATATAAATTATCAAATTAATTTTCAAAATTTAACATTTCATATAATTTAATCTTTAATATATATTTTTTAAAATTTTATTTATAATATTTTTTATTTGTTTTTAAGCTTTCACTTAGTACTCAACCATTGCCACTCGTATAGATATATGTACCTTTTTATAAATGGTATTCGCTGTATAAGACAATTTTATTAATTTAATTGATTAATCAAGTTATTTTAAAAATAATTAAATGTAACTAATTATTTTATTTTTCTTAATAAAAAATATAAAAAATAAATAAAAAATTGTAAGGAGAAAAAAATATTAAAAATGAATTATTTAAATTTTAGAGATTAATATAATATTTTTTAATAATAAAAAAATTATCAAAAATATATAACTCAAATAATATAAAACTCCTTGCTCTTTACCTCAATAGAAAAATCAAATTTATTTTATTAACAAAATTATGAAAAGCATGTAATATCAACCTTGCTATTATAATAATTACCACGCTTTTTCTAAATTAATTTTAAACAAATGAAGAATAATAATATAGTTTAATCTTGTGTTATATACATAATTAATTTATACATATTTTTATGATTTATTCTTAATTTTATTAGCATAATTACAAATTAGATTATATATTATTATTATTTTAATTAAAAAATTAAATTATTTTTCACGCGAGAATGATTTTATTTACAGAGTAAGTTACTGTGACTTTGTCGATAGTGAAAAAAAATTTACTATAAATAACCTAGTCAAGCTCCTCGTATTTCACCGACCCGTTAAAAATCTCCCTTTAGAATATTTGGTCAAATCAAGTAAGAGCTACGCAGGGACATTACGGTGTACCTCATTATCAGTCTTCGATCAGCCAATCATCTACCGCCACGTAGCCCTTTTGACTCGAGGGGATAATAGGTCATCAACAATTTGCAAAAACATTGGTGCACAATGAGTAGTTCAGTGGATTTATAATAGAGGAAGAAAACCATTGTTCCCTTGTTCTTACTGAGTCCATTTCTGACAAAGCAGACAAATTTTACTGACAAGATTCGGGCTCAAAATCTCACTTTATCTGTTGAGTCTTGACTGAGTTGACTCGGGGGAAAAAAAAAAGAAAATAGGAGGAGAGATAAAAGGAAATAAGGAATTCTTTTGGTATATAACATTAAGACCCAAAAGGAAGTAGAAGGGAGAAAAGGAGAAAGCGTCAAGATCGAGTCTAATCTAGGGTTTCTTTCAGATTTATCCTTCTTCTCGAATCTCTCCGTGTGCTCAAGTTGAGTCTTACGGAGGAAAAGAAGATATTCCTGAAGCTCGGTGTTGATTGATTGTTTCAGTCGAGGTATCATCTCGCTTTGCTCTTTTTTTTTTTTTTTCGTTTGGATTTTTTCGGAGTTTTCTGTTATCTTTTTTTTCCTACTCTTCTGAGGAAGAAGTCTCCGTGCGTACTGGAAAAGGTGGAGAAATTGCTTGAAGTTTGAGTGTTTTTGACTTGAGTTGAGTGCGGCTTTGAGTTGTTGCGTTGTGAAACTGGTGTCGGTCAGTGCCGGTTTTTTATGTGGAACTTGATACGGAATTTGTTGTTGCTGATTTTCCTGCATTTTCAGAGGAAACAAACGGATTTTCGGGGAGTCGATATTGATTTGTTTGATTTTTTTGCAGGAAGGGTTTGGGTGGTGGAGAATTGGAGAACAGTGATAGGTAGAGGGCGGCTACCTGGAAGGATTGGTCGAGTGTTTGTTTGTTTGGATTGGACGGAAAATTCAAATGCCGGACGAGGACTTGGTTGAGCTTAAATTCCGATTATATGATGGATCAGATATTGGCCCATTCCGGTATTCCCCTGCAGCCACTGTGGCCATGCTCAAGGAGAGGATTGTCTCTGAGTGGCCAAAAGGTAAATTGAATTTGATTCTGTTTTCTCTAATTGGCTGAATGAATTTTTATTTTCAGCACATTTTGGTTTCGTGTTGTATATTGGTAAGTTCGTGCCTTACTCTTTTGGGTTATATAGGAAAAAATTTAAGATGGTACAACTGCAAATTCGGCATATAGAAATTTAGGGTGATTAGCATTTATAGTATTTACATATGCATGTTATTGAGTTCCGTTTCTGGTGTTACTTTATATTCCATGTATTGATTGTCATAAATTTTTTTGAGTGCGATTGTTTGATGTATTCTATATTTAGTGTCTATCCTTGCGGCTTCGATAAATTGTTTCAGAAAGATTTTTGACTTGCCTTGTATCATTGGTGTTAGCATGACCAAAATTAATTAAGTTTTGATTGTTGCACGTTCCAATTATGTACGGTTGTGTTAAGTTTTCGTTACCTATCCATGCAGTGGGAAATTGTTTGGGATCTTCTCTTTATTTTTTGTGGAAGCTATTAGGTTTGTGATAGCATTTTAATATAGTTGAAGTTTCTGGTAAAATAGCTATCAATACAATCTATCTCTTGCCTACTGGCTTTGTAATGGAAGAACCAGTCACATGCAATGTGGGAAGATGAATGTAATGTGCAACTTTCTGTTTGCTCCCTCATTATAAAGGTGGAAATTTGATTGTAATTTTAACAAAGTATTTCTTATGCTTTTAATTAATAACATGATATTAAACACTCTCTTTGGTGGGTCACCATCCTGGTTTTCGCTTTGCGCTCTCTGCCAAATTACAATGCTGTGCTTGCCTATGTTGGGCAGACCCTTGCATCCAGGAAAGAAATAATTTATCCAGCATCATCCTTCCCTTAAAAAGGGAGGAAGAATGCAGATATGGAAAGTAGAAGGAACTGAAGGGGAAACGATCATGATCTTTTATTTTTTATGGCATATAAATTTATTTATGTTTGTGAATTGGAAACCAAAACAGACATTTAAGAATAACAGATTTTCAAGGAAAACTAACTGTCAGCCATGTAAAATAGGTTTTAGAAAACTTATGAATTTGCTTAGCTGCCTGTCCATCTAATTCATACTCTATGTATGGCACGTTATTTTTTGATTGATTAGCTCTGTTCCTTTTCAGATTCCATAATTTTCAGTGAACTTGGTCATCCAATCTGTATAGATGTTTATCAACTGTCATTTTGTTGAATCTGTATAAGTGTCTATCAACTGTCATTTTGTTACAAAATTCCTTCGGCATTCTACTGCCGAAAAAAATGCATCTCAATGGATATCTGCATCTCAATGGATATCATAAAGATATTGCCAATGGATTCTAACACCTACTTATATGTGTCATGATTCCCTAGTCACATCACCCCTCCAGTTGGAGCTAATAGTCAAAACTCGACTGCTGTGCACATTTGTGTTTCTCTCCTTTGCAATAGACTGCTGCTCTTTTCATATGCATGCATGTATTAATATTATGTCTATTAGATGTTTAGACAGTAGGTACCTTGCCATGCACTCCTTGAATCTTGTATGACATAATGACACTTTTTGTATATGGCAATAACATTTTTTCCTCTTTGAGAGACAGTGCTTATTTTGTTGAATAATGCAATTTTTGGAAGGTGTTTTGTTGACTTTAAGGCTATATTTTGTATTTTGAGATGAGTAGGATAAGGGTGTCTTTTGCTACACTAGTATTTGGGGTCCAAGATGGATAAAGAGAGGGTGCATACCCTACATTGGATAAGATATGCCATGACATTTACCTAAATCTCCTTAGTCATTAGTAACTTATTTACATCAATAACTTTTATTTATTCAAGAAAAAAATATTTGTGGTTCCAAGTCCTAATTTTTTTGTTAGGGGCTAGCCTTTGTATTATGTTGAGAATCTTGGGAACCTAATAGACATTTCGTTTGAGATATAAATGCTTTTGTACATGGGTTGTTTCTCTTGGTGCTCTTTGAATATATCTCTTCTTTTAGGAAAAAAATATTTGTGGGATTATCATATTGGTGTATCATATCTTGAAGTGCTTGATTCAAAGATATTATAGTTTTTTCTTCAGGTATTCTCTATCCTTTTGATGCATTAGTTTTTATAATTAACATGAAAAAAAAAAAACAACAATCCTGTTCCTTATTATGTGCCAAATAGATGGTGGGATAAATGCTTATTTATAATTTAGTTTCTCTATTTACCTGCTGTATCATAAACTATTCAGAATGCTAAGCATGACCTGAGAAGATTGTGCTATCTGGCTGCGCTATTTGGTCATTCTAACTGCATCTTAGGTTTCTTGGATACACCAGATTGATCTTCTCATAACATATTGCAATTCTTTGTTACATCAGATTGACAATTGTTTTATCGGATTGAAACAAATTTTTGTTAAGAAAAACATAAATGATTATGATTATTGATTGTTCATGATCTCGACGGCACAAATGCTTTGCTTTTGGATTAGACTTCCCCCTCTGATATGATATGATGTTGAATTTTCCTGGAATTGATGCTTAGGTGGTATTGTGATATTTCTTTTACATATTCTCTAGAAAATTATTTGAGCTCCTTTTGTGATGTCCTCTGGCTTCAATCTCATGGATATATATTCTTTATTGATCTATTGTATTTTCTTGTTGTGGGCTGCCTATAAGATTTTGTGGTTCATGATGTGAAGATGTTGTAGAACTTAAGTAGTTTGAAATTTTAGGTTATTATTGGAACTTATCTCAAAAAGGTTATTATTGGAACAAAAAGTAACTGAAAACTGAATTATTGTGCTGCATATTATTTCTATTTTAAGATGGACCTAGTTGATAGGAGGATTTGGATTTCCTTTATAAGGACAATTTGATGATCCCTCTTCGTGGTTTAATGGTACTCTTTTGTAGTGATGTATTATTTGAATGCAAGATATCATTTTGACAGCCTGCAAAATTTGAACCTGTCCATCTTAATACAGACCCCAGGGCATGCTGCTAGTTGAATTGCTATTATATCTTTCATTTTTCCGCCCTTTCTTTCATCCTATATGTTTCTTCTGTGCCCCCGTGGTCTATTTTGCTTCAAATTATTGCTTCTTACTAAACTGTCTCCAGATCTCTTAATTGATGTGACATTCTTATTGTGTCACAAAAAAAGTAGTATTATTCATATGGTAATTTTATTAAGTTGTTTACTCTATTTATTGATTTGTGGTCATCTAATAAAATCTAAATTTCCTGATCTGTTCTAGACAAAAAAATTGCTCCCAAGTCAGCCAATGACATCAAGTTGATTAGTGCTGGAAAAATTTTGGAAAACAACAAGACTGTCGGGCAGTGTAGAGTACCTTTTGGCGAGCTTCCAAGAGGGGTTATTACCATGCACGTCGTCGTGCAGCCATCTGTAACAAAGGCTAAAACAGGTAGTTCTCATACTGACGCATTGCATATGCAAACGATATTCGTGGCATACTAAAGATATATCTCAAACAGATGAACTTTTCTTGTGAAATTCATTTAGAAATCCACATTTATTTTTAATTAGAGGCCAGCAAATATTCTTCCTAAAATGATGAAAATTGACATCCAGTACCATTCTGAATAGAAGTCTAATTATACTTTACGAACTCATTGAAGTTTAATCTTCAGAAGGGATTTTCTCCCCTCAAATGAATTTGCAAACAAGATTCACTTTCTCCCACGCCGCTCCCCTCCTCAAATGATAGCGTAAAAACTCTTTATTTCCGAACATTGGACATTAGCAAGTAGTTAATATTTAGACATGGGGCTTATATTTTCAACCAGAACTATGCATATTGCGGTGTTAGTTATTTTTATTTAGGGTTGATATATTATGGTTGCTGCTTGCATATATTTACTAATAACTTAAAGAATATGGGCTCTTTCTTTTTGTTGAATAAGCAGAAAAGAAGGTTGATGAGGCCCCTAAGAAAACTGTATGTTCCTGCACCATATTGTGAGAGGGATCGAGTCCCTGATCCGAGCTTAGGGCACTTGGATTCTTCTCTCCTGGGGTCTCTGTACACAAAAAGGGTAAGCTTGGATGGGCAGAAAATAATTTGTAAAACAGTTTGCCATTCATGGTGGTTGCATGTTTGTGGGAGGAGGGCATTTGTGTAACATCAGCCCATGTTGGTGATCTATTCTCTTCAGTTTTAATATATAAAGAAAAGAAGTGTTTGATGTATTTGTCACCTGGCTCTGTTCTCTCCTTCCATTTCTTTTTTTTTTTTTTCTTTATATATAATTCTGTTACATATATATAGGAGGAAGTTTACAGTGAGTAGGAGTTTTATTGTCTTTGCCTGCCTTTACCCAAAATCATAGGAGTGGATATGGGGTCATGAAAATTTATGGGACCCTATAAATTTCTTATTTATTACATATCGGATAAATATATATTTGTAAAAACAAAAGCCTGTTGTGGTTTGATCATGTCATGAATTATGTTTCTGTATTTCTCTTTTCCTTGTTCATGGTGTTTTTTTTTACAGGTAAGAACTTGACCAAAGATGACATTGGTTGTGATTGCCGTTTCTTGGGTAATTTTTTTTTTTTTTTACTATTTTTATTTGTATCTCTTTTATGTCACTTGGTACATTTTTACTTCGGTTAAAAATTTGAATTTTATATAAATATATGTTAGGTTATACTAAAAAAATTAGAAAAAAAAAAAAAAAAAAGTTAAACCAGGTGTATGGTTCAAGAACTAGGGAAGCAGTAATTTTACCCTGTAATATATATACCTCAAAAAAAAATCAAAAAGTAATTTTTTCAAATTAATATTTTTCGACGTAAATAAACAGTAAATAAATTAAGATTTAACCTAATCCTGTAATTAATTGAAGTCCTTTCTACACAAATGATGGACTCAATTAACTTAATCCATCCCCGTCTCCCTTGCACTTTCCTCTTTTTCTTCTTTCCTTTACCCACTACATACAGAATTTCAACAGAAAAGAAAGGAAAATAAAATAAAATAAAAAACATTATAATAATAGTAATAATAATAATAATAAAGAGATTTGTATATTTAATAATATTAATAATTAAAATAACTGTAATTTTAAATTTATGAGAAATCATCAGTACGTGATCGTCATCTTCCTCAACATCGCCATGCAGAGGCAGCAAGAATAGCTCTGTCTTGCCATCCTAAAAGCAAGCAACCCTTGTCTTCCGTCAACCTGTATCCATCACACGAGTACAAACCCAGTAAGATCTTCGACTGAGTCACCGCGTTCGCACTGAGTGGAACCCCTTTAAACCCTTTTCCTTCCATTATCTTCCTCCACTTCTCCAACCTCTCGTGTCTATCGATCCTCTCCGCTCCTTCGCACGCCACAATATTCCTTATCTCCGGCGCAAATATATACTGCTCTACCTTCGCTCTCTGCGCCGAATCCGGCGGAAATGTCGCGTCCAACGAGTCAAAAATCGCCGAGTAGTAATGTAGAGCTTCAAGGAACCGGCCTAAGAAGTAAGGTCCGTTATGGTTAGCTTCTTTCTCAACGACTGTAACAATGTTCGGCGCTTGGTCACGTATCATTGCTAGAAGGTTGCCGAGACAGTTTCCCGGAACTCGGTGGAGCCGGTTGACGGCGTTGACGGCGAGAGCCTCGCCCACTCGTCGATTAAACATGTGGGGTTTTATCTCCTCCAGTGGCTCACCGATTGGGTGGAACTCGAATGGGATGTGTAGAGACTGAGCTAACTCGGCCAAACACCGACCCGTTTCCCTGACGGACTCGATCGGGTACCCAACTCCGGTAATCCTCAAAAAGAGAGCTCCGCCGGGTCGGGCGGCTAACGCTTGCATGAAAGCTGGCCATTGGTATCCCTGGAGGATATCTAAATCGATGACGTGAACTCGTTCTTCGGCTTCGAAGGCTTCGAAGATGGCTTGGTTTGAGGTGAAGTGGGCGAATTTGATGTATGGACAAGCTTGGTAGACGATCTGGTAAATCTTGAGGATTTCAACGGAGTTTGGTGGGAAATAGGAGGAGAGGGATTTTGGGGTTGAGGATGAGGAGGAGGAGGAGGTGTGTGTGGCGATGGTGGTGGTGGCGGCTGTGGGTTTGGTGGTTAGGGTTGCGGCGAGTCGAGCGCTTAGAGCTTCGGTGAAGCACGAGGCGACTCGTTGCATTGAGTCACCGAGTGGACTCACTACTCTGTTGAGATGGTGAAGGTATCTTCTTGCAGACATGTAGTCTTCTTTAGCTACTGCTTCTGCACAATAGAGAAGAAGGTGCACCAATTGCAGTCCACTGTCTTGCTCCTACATTAAGAGAAATAAATAATAATAATGATAAAACAATTTTTTTTCTTTAATTTTTCTAAAATAAAATTCTTATTAATTCATAATAATAAATAATAGAATAAAATTAAGTATAAGTTCATATTTATATATGAGTAAATATATAAATATTTTTTTATGATAATTCGTTCAATTAATTATAAGATTAATAAATTTTGTAAATATTAATCGATAAGCTTTGAATTTTATTTGTAGAATTTTTTAGAGTTTATAAGTTTTGGTAAATGTTTAAGTTTTGATTTTCTTTAATATTTATATATTAAAATTCAAATAAATAATTATTATGCACTCTTATATTAATTTTTTAATATTTAAAAATTTATATAAATAATGTTTAAAATGTTCTCTATATAATGTATAAATGTTTAGTTATAATTATCGTCTTAATTGTATTTTTATATATTAAATTTGAACAAATAATATGAAAATTTTATCTTTACATATAATATATATTTATAATTAGTATTAACATATTATTTTTTATATTTTAAGAATTTTAAATAAATAAATGTTTTCTATGATCAAATTATTTTTATATTTCAAAATTACAGTATATAATTTATAGTTAATTGAAAATTAAGTTTTATTTTTATATTTAAAAAACTTAAGAATATATATACATATTATCATATTAATTTTAATGAATAACATTAAAAATTTTATTTCTATAAAAATTAAATATAATTATAATTATCGCATTAAATGAATATATATATTCAAAACTATATAATATTTGTTATTTTTCAAAAAAAGAATTGTAACGTAATATTTACTTGATCAGAACCGATTGGAAGAGGCATCACTGAACTATGATTCAAACTCTGGTGTTGCTCAGCCGGCGGCGGTGGCGGTCTGATTTGCTGCCCTACTTGCTGCTGCTGTTGAGTCATGAATGGGGGACCATTAGAACTCGGCCCCGCCTGATAAATCTCACCTTCTTGTGCTCCCGCCATTGAAGAAGAAGAACACAAACCTCCCTGCTCAGTCGTCTTCGTCCCCACCAACCCACAAAACCTCGACGAACCCATATCACCAGTTCCATTAATCCCATCAACCGCCCCCGCCGCCTCCATGTCCGGCATCTCGTAAAGCTTGTCCGAAGTCGTGGCCATGCCGGTCGTGGAGTAATGATTATAATCATCTAAGAACTCGCCGATAGCTGGAAGCGACAAGCTCTCAATCTGCATGAACTGGTTGTTCGGCGAGTTGAAAACTTTCTGCAGCGGCGACGACATTCCGGCGGCCTTCCCCGACGGCCTCTGGCTGGTAAGAGCTCCGACTTGAGACGAAAACCGAGGAGGAGAACAGCCGGAAAGACTCTGTCCTTGCATTGCATGAACGTAGTTAAAATTATAGGTTGATGCTTGTGGTGATGCCGGCGGTGGCAAGTTCCTCACCGGAGATAAGATCATGAAGTCGGAGTCTAAATGCTCGGAGAGGAAGGTTTCCCAGAAGGAGTTTTCTGGTTCCACGTCGCCGTCGAGATCGAATTTGAGAGATGGAAAATTGAGACACGGTGGGGTTAAGCTACTGGTTTGCTGATGATCAAGATGATCAGAAGATAAAGCTGCTGGTTTCTTGTTAGTAGTACTCTGATCGGATAGAACGTCGTCGTTTGGTGACGAGGGATTTTGCAACTTGATGCATGAGCCTTCACTCTTGATAGAACCCAAGCTTCCACATAGAGAATTAATCATTTTTCCTTCTTCTACAATAAATTTAGGCAATGATTCTCAAAACCCACAAGACAAAGTTATAATTTGACTTGAAAGAAAATTTTAAAAAACAGCAATAATTCTCAATACCCAAGATAGAATAGGAAAGAAGTTGGAAAATAACAGTAGAAAATTGATGTAATTTTCAAGTTTGTTTATAATGAATTGAAACTTGGGAAATGGCTTCTTTCTCGATCTTGATCTTGATCTTGTCTTTGATCTCTTATTAAGCTTTCTAATTGTAATACGTATATTTACTATATGGGTGTGAGAGGAGGCAATAGGGTTTGTGGGTGTGTGCTTAATTAATTTAATTTTATTGATTCATTAGATATTGATGTCTAAAAAAAATAATTTAAAAAATTATAATCTAACGGTTAAAACAACAGTTCTTAAAACTAATATTATAAGTTTGAATTAATTATCTTGTGATAAATCTGCATTGTGTGATAAAGAATTATAATTAGCCAGAGACAAAACCCTAATCCAATTTCATGTGATTGGAGGTATGTGATGAATAATCACCTTCTTTGATAATGTTTAAGCTGTTCTCTATGATCCTAATTTGGATTTTTAGGGTACCCGTTTTAACTGTTTTGAAAATTAATGGCCTGTGATGGCACTAGATGACAATTTAGTTGCTTTGGGGCCCACTAATTCCTTGGGCCGGCCCATATGAGAACAAGGTAATTGGAATATGTGGACACTTTTCATTATTATTATATAATATCATGTATAATATATATATATATATATAATATGGTTGTAAATTGAGATTAATTAATTAATTAATTAATCATATCTTTTTTAAGAGAGTAAATGAGTGGTTTGTGGAGGGTGGTCAATGGGAGAATGATAAGTGGACGCTGAATGCGAGCCTAGGAATAACATTTTTTTACTTAAATTTCATAATTTTGAGTCAAATTATATTTAGATGAGTCATTTTTAAAATGAGTCATATTTAAGTTTGACATATTAATATAAATAATTTAAAAGTTTAACATAGTCTAATTATATTTATTTTATATTTAGATTCATGTAGTATAAAAATCGGATTCAAATTTGATAAAACTCGAGTAAATTCAAAATTTAGTGAAATTTGCTCCAAATCTGCTTCCCTCCGACCTCCTCCGAAAATTAGAACTTGTAATTTTGATAAGGGAATTAAGGAAGTATAAAGTTTTAAGAATGTATTTTTTTGCACTTATCAAATCCAATTTAATATAACAAGAAGATGATATGATATTCTGTTGAATATGATATATGATATAATTATTATAATAATTACCAATTACAATAAGTAAATAACTAGAGTAGAAGTACAAGTGGGTTCAGAGGATACACAATATATACATAATATTAGACTTAGAAGGGGATTTCAACAATGTGTAATCTTGGGAAAGTGACTTCTAACAATGCATACACAATTATATGTATATATATATATATATAAATAAAATATACATATACATACAGGAAAATTGTTAATCTTACACCAAAGAATAATACTTCAACAGCTTTCTTTTGTTTGTGTTTATTTTTGTAAAAAAAAAAAAAAAAAAGATTTAGAATTCGAATTTTATATTTTGATTCCTCAATATTTGTCAATTATATAAGATTAAATTATCAATTTTTATTTTGAGCTTTGTTGACTTTCAATTATTTAAGTACATATATATATATATATATATATATCTTTTAACATTCGGATCACAAAAATTTGATCTTTTCTTTTTTTGGTTTTATTTTTAGTTCTTTTTGTTCTCTAAATAATTCTTAAACTTATTACAAATTTCATCAAATTTAATTTAATTTAATTTAAAACATACTTTATTTCAAAATAAATTTTATAATTTAAAATCACATTGTACTAATTTGGATAAATAAAATTTATATATACAACATATATATTGAGTAATTAAACATGGTTAAGAATAATTTTAAGCACAAAAAAATTCGATCAATAAATAAAATTTATAATGTTTTAATGGTAAAATATCCATAAATGATTACAATATAATTCTCTACATATGTCTGTGTAATCCTTAATTAAGATGGAGATATATATATATATATATATGTATATAATTGTTGGTGTGAGGAGGAAATGAGGTGGAAGGAGTGGGGAAAGAAAAAGGACAAGAGATGGAGACTTAGCCTTGATCGTCACACATGGCGTCGGTGACGCCGCCTACTCTTTGGATTTGCCAAAGGATTTGAGTGTTTGTCTCCAACCTTTTCCCCCCGTTAGGCGGCATCTCCCCCCTTTCTCATCATATATATTCACATATACACTATATATATGTATATATATATATATATATAGGTTTCCATGAATTTTTATCTCATACTCTATATGCACATAGGTATATACACATTTATGCTACTACACTACATTGTTAATGGTTGATGTACATTGTAAATTTGAGTCGGTTTAGGCTCTTTTATATATTCTCATTTAAACTATACTGTATTATAATTGATATGTATTTATTTTGTATTTAAAAAAATTATCATAACTAAATGAATTGTTATTATAAAAATTTGAGGATGCAAGAGTAGATTTTTATCAACTCCATAAATTTTTAGTATAAGAATTTTAAAAAACTTTAATATAATTAGTTTACTCAAATTTTTATGACACAAATTGCAACGGCCCGTAAACTTGGAAGAAAATAAATTATGAATTAAATGCGGAAGCGAAATAAATAGTTAAGGTTTACATTCGTTACACAATAATTCAAATTACTCAATAGGGATACGTAAATGATATTTTTAAAAAGAAATAACAAAAAATTTAAAAAATAAATGAAAAATAAACAATTGGGCATCATACTCACAATCCTCTTGTAGATCGAGTTCTGAATTTTGGTCCTCTTAATCTGAAATGGTTAATAAAAGAGTGAGATATACTAGTTCAGTAAGAATATTACGATACTCACCGACATGGAAGTGAATGTTGGTAAAAAATCAGGAAACAACTAATGAAACTCTTAATTTAAGTAAATTTGTTTATCATAAATAAAATCATTTACCGCATACTTATCGTAGTGAGATTTTCAAAACCAACCTATAGAGTTAATATGTAACACCCCAACCCTTTTTTTTATTATTTTATTATTATTATTATTATTGTAATTATTATATGAATATAATTATTATTTACGTAATTTTATATTGAATTTAATTTAGTTTAATTTATTTTAATAGAAATAATAATAATAATAATGGATAAAAATTATTTAGGGATTTAATTGAGACATTTTGGAAAAAATGGGTAAAAATTCTACCATTTGCTCAAATTTGATTCTAAACCCACTATAGCCAAATCAGAGCGGAGCACAGCCAATTGGCGAAAAACGCCGCCGAA